GCACAGCCAGAGATGCCTGCTCTCAATTTGGCAGCAGAAAAAAAAAAAATATCTCAACAGCCGAGGGTCATAGCAGAGAAAATCTAATGTCAAGAAAAATACATAGTCGTTGCTGAAACAAGACATTCAGTACATCAGACACTTCATGCAGACTAGCTGAACTGAATTTCAGAAGGATCTAATCCTAAAAGCTTTATATAACTAACCACCAGAAAGTCCTTAAGAGAGTCACCCAGGCATTTTAACTCACCAGCTGTTCTCTCTTCAAAGTCTTAATTTTTTCTCTGATTCATGGGTGTGTATATTATAACTCCATTGCTATTGGCTGGTTTGTAACAAAATCCCAAAGTAGATATTGTCTCTGTCAAAGCTTTACAACTTGTGATCCACCAGGGTGAACACAAACATATTTGTGATATAGTGATACAGGAAAGGCGTGATAAATCTGGCGTTGTTATTTTCTTGGGGATTATACAAACAGGTGAGTTATCAAGAACTGGTTAAATCAAAGTAAATTCAACTAGTTGGATTGCAGCTCACGAGGGATCAATATATTTTCAAGTGTTGTAACTTTGGTGACTCCTTCTATAAGTCCTCAGTGCATGACATAAATTTCTATGGCATACATACAAGAACCTTTCTCAATCAAGTAACATTTCATCTAGTCTTGCATTTTGTGTAACACAATGGCCAGCCAGGTGAATTTGGGAAGCTCCCAAACATAGCCCCTGAACCACTGGATCACTTGCTGTGCTGTCTGCAATTTCAGCGATAACAAATTGGCATTAAGACTTGTTGAGTTCTTGCTTTTCAACTACAGGAGGCAGAATTTATTTTCTGTTTGTAGGCCAGAAGCAGGAAGGCCCTTTATTGAAAAGGAAACACCAATCCTCTAAGTCCAATTACATTACTTATAGAGCATAATCCTTCAATTAACTGAGCAATCCTTTTATTGCTGGATAACATCAGCTCCAGGAGATTTCTCCTTGGACAGAAAGGGTATCTGTTTATAGTTAGACCTCTTGACTCCCTGATTGGAAGAAGATGGACTGTTTGAATCCAAATGATCTGATGTAGAATGGTCAGAACTGTCGTGTGGTTCTCGTTCTGTTCCATAAACTTGTTTCCTTAGCCAATCACTTATTAGGTGGATGCCATTTTTATACCTCCAAATACAGTAGTTCAGTGGTTGCCAAGTCTTGTAAAAGCCAGCAGCCCTGTTAGTTGTTACCTTATGACTTATTTATTAAAGGTAGAGGTTTCCCCTGTCCAGTGGTGGTCTGACTGTAGGGGATGGTGCTCATCTCTATGGGAGCCAGCATTGCCCAAAGACATTTCCATGGTCATGTGGCTACCATGACTGTACACCAATGCACACTGTTAACCTGCCACCAAAGTGTTATCTATTTATCTATTTGCATTTACATGCTTTCAAACTACTAGGTTGGCAGGTGTTGGGGCAAGTAACAGGAGCTCCCCCCATTGTGTGGTGCTCGGGTCTCAGACTCAGGCTATCAGCTGTCCATCTGATAAGGTCAGCATCTTTAACCACTGAGCTATTGCACCCCCTTCACCTTCATATTTATTTCATTTATTTATTAGGCTTGTATGCTGCCCATTTTGCCTAGAGGCCTTAAATCTAAGTAGGTTGAAAAAAATTAACCTGAGATATACATATAGGACTGTTAGCTCCACTCAGTCTGGGAAAGTCATAGCAAAGGCAGCAGTGGGGGGGCAGAGGGGGGTAGGGACTTCAGCTTTGGAGTTTTTTTTACTTTTTTCCTTAGTATAGGACACCGAGTATAGAACTTTCCCATTAGTAAATGGTCAGGACTTGGTTATGGTTATTTATAGTAGTGTTCTATATTTCAAAAGAAAATGAACCAATCTCACCTTCAAAGTTCCCCTTTTTCTCAATCCTTCTTTAAAAATCCTCATTGTTCTCTCCACTTGACTACTTCACGATTGATGAAGTTTGTTTAATTTCTGATTGTAAATTTTGATAAATCAGTACCCATTATTTTAGGCTGTCCATGTATAGCAAATATGCCAATGTTTCTAGCCAGTCCTATTAGACTTCATGAGACATACTTCCAACAGCTTTTGGGAGGATAGTATTAAACCATTTTTTCCAAGCCAGTTTCTAATTTTAATCACCAGACACAACTGCAAGCTAAACCTTTCAAGTGGAAAAAAAATTACAGCATTTCTAATCATACTTTTATTGAGATCATCTACAGAGGACTGGTAAAGAGCTAATGTAGTTCCCATCTTCAAAAAAGGGAAAAAATGGATGCAGGAAACTACAGACCTATCAGCCTGACCTCAATACCTGGGAAGATCCTGGAAAACATAATCAAGCAATGAATCAGTGAACACCTAGAGGCAAACAAACTCATTACCAAAAGCAAATATGGGTTTGTCAAAAACAGATCATGCCAGACAAATCTTATTGAATTCTTGACCAGGTGACAAAATTAGTGGACCAGAAGAATGCTGTGGATATAATTTACTTGGATTTCAGTAAGGCATTTGATAAAGTAGACCACAACCTACTACTTGATAAGATAGAAAAATGTGGGTTAGGCAGCATCACCACCAGATGGATTTGTAGCTGTCTGAGTGGCCGGACTCAGCATGTGGTCCTCAATGGAACTGCACCTACATGAAGGGAAGTGTGTAGTGGAGTGCCACAGGGCTCTGTTCTGGGCCTTGTGCTCTTCATCAACGATTTGGATGAGGGGATAGATGGGGAACTCATCAAATTTGCAGATGATACCAAGCTGGCAGGAATAGCCAACACTCCAGAAGATAGGCTTAAGATACAGAAGAATCTTGACAGACTTGAACATTGGGCCCAATCAAACAAAATGAAATTCAATGGTTCTATATTTAGGCGAGAAAAAACAAATGCATAGGTATAGTATAGGTGGTACCTTGCTCAATAGTAGTAACTGTGAGAGGACAATCACTTAAATATGTGCCAGCAGTGTCCTGTAGCTGCCAAAAAAGCCAACACAGTTCTAGGCTGCATTAATAGAGGGATAGAATCAAGATCACGTGAAGTATTAATACCACTTTAAAATGGCTTGGTAAGGCCATCCTTGGAATACTGCATCCAGTTTTGGTCACCATGATGTAAAAAAGATGTTGAGACTCTAGAAAGAGTACAGAGAAGAGCAACAAAAATGATTAGAGAACTGAAGGCTAAAACATATAAGGAATGGTTGCTGGAATTGGGTATGTCTAGTTTAATGAAGAGAAGGATGAGGGTTGACATGATATCTCAGGGGCTGCCACAAAGAAGAGGGAGTCAAGCTATTTTCCAAAGCACCTGAAGGCAGGACAAGAAGCAATGGATAGAAATTATTCAAAGAGAGAAGCAACCTCGAACTAAGGAGAAATTTCCTGACAGAACAATTAATCAGCCAAACAACCTTCCTCCAGAAGTTGTGAATGCTCCAACACTGGAAGTTTTTAAGAAGAGACTGGACAGCCATTTGTCTGAAATAGTATAAGATTTCTTGCCTAAGCAGGAGGTTGGAGTAGATGATCTGCAAGATCCCTTCCAATTATTATTATTATTATTATTATTATTATTATTATTATTATTATTATTATTATTATTATTATTATTATCTCCCTGAAATGTATAAAAAGCTCTCCTTACTTAATATTATATGTTTGGAGTAAAAGAAAGAATTTTTAAGCACAATTATTTACTATTTAAAGGTAAAAAATTTATTATTTGAGAAACACTCACTGAGCTTTTCCCAAACATTCCAGTAAGGTGTCACTCCCTCAAAATGCATTTCCCTAGAGCCAAATCTGAAAGCCGTAATCTTAGTATGTCCACATTGCCATGCTGATGACTTGCCTTACAGCAGATTATGTGAACATAAATTGTTACAGGTAGTTCTCAATTGGTTATAAGTTGGTGTGATCATAAACCAGGTCACCATCCAACTGTACTTGATTTTATGACTGTTTATACAATGGTCATTAAGCAAATCACTCGGCTGTTAAACAAATTGCAAGTCCAAATTTGTAAGTCCAAATCCAGCTTATTCAATAAGCATTTTTGCCAGAAAACGGCAAAAAGTGTTGCAAAATGCAATCACATGGATGCTGTAACTAGTCATAAATGTGAGCGAATTGTCAAATGCCCAAAATGTGATCACGGGATGCAACAATCATAATTTAAAGGATGGGTCATAAGTAACTTTTTTGAAGTCCAATGTAACTTCAGACAGTCATTAAGGGATTGGTCACAAGACAAGAACTATCTATATTGCTAAAGCCCAGTAATATTTCAGAGGGATAGATTTATATTCCTTAAATAGTCTCAACAAGTGTTGATAATCAGTTGTGATAATAGAAGGACACTGCTGTAAATATTAAATGAAATGTGATCATTAGTCTCCACTTTTTTGAGTTGAAAATAACCTCATTCTGTTTTATTCAGTGTCCATGAGGCATAGCTAATAGAACTTTCTCTGGGCTCATTTTATAAAACAACATAGTTCCTACTCCATAGGCAGAAGCATCATCCGTAGGACAAGATTAATTTCTTCTTAGGTTGAGATGAACCCAGACTCATAGATTGCAATCACTTTAAATACTTTTTCTTGCCTTACTTTCCAACATACAGTAATTATCTTTTCTTAGTATTAGTGTAATGATTCTAAGAAGAAGACTGACAACTTAGATAGGAACCAATTATACCAATTCAATATCAATGTCCTCAAGTAGGCCTGACATTCTGATGCGTTCTCTGGTGTGGTGCGGACACTCAATTACTTTATTGGTCACTGGATGAATTCCATTTTTGTTAAATTACTATCATATATACTGTACTTCAAATTTTTTTTTTTGAAAAAGCACTTGCTTCAATCACAGCTCTCCATCTCACAGTCCTTGAAACACTGTCTTAGATGTTTAAAAAAATGACTTGAATCTCTTTGATTGATGGTTATAGTCACAACAAACCTCACCACTATTCTTGGCTGTTCTTCACAAGGTTTTCTGTGTAGGGTTCTAGATGCTTAAGAAACTCTTTAGAGCAATCTAATACATTTGACACAATCTGTTTCTTAAAATTCTTTTCAAATGTTATATTCTGGTATTTTGATCTTTATCACTTTCTGAACTCCATAAGTGGCAGGGCCAGCACCCCCCAAAAAAAGCCTGCTTCTTGTAAGATCATCTAGGTAATATGGACATGTGTATAGGCCAAAAATGGGATTTTGGAAACATACCACCAACTGATGCAATTCCTGTGTAATGTAGCCGTGAATGGTTCCATCTTGTTTTATCAAAGGTACAATATAACTTGCCTGACACAGTTTAGATGATTACATCAAGACGATTATCTTCCTTGACCAATCTGTCCAGTCGCATTTCAGTTTTGTCTCAAAGGATATAAGAAATTGCTCTGGCTTCTGAACATAAATATAGGATTTCATTTTTTTCAATGTACTAACTCCTGTGGAAGTATTGTGTGGTAGGTTGTATGATTAATAATTATTGTATTTCTTTATAACAAAGTCATCCAAATCTAGAACCTTTCTAGTTTCTTGTTGCTAGGAAAATTACATGGATATGTCTATGTTGTTATCAAGAGTTCAGTTGAATATAACAGGGACTTCCTCATGCTTTGTCTTGGCTGGTGGATTGCTTTATAATGATGATAAATATTCTCATACACTATTGTAACGGAGGTAGCAGGGGAGCCATGTTAAATGATGGCAGCAAAAAATACCAAAAGGATTTTTCAAAAAAGCATTTCATGAGTTACTTCTTTCACCAGAGACATCAAATGACAAGACTTTTTCCTCCACTATTTGAGACTTAAAAGAACATTTTCTAGACTAGAAACATAATACAGATATATACTCCTTGTCAACTCGGGATATCCTGGGATAACATACCAACGCAGAACAAGCCACTCTAAGATTTTGTGTGAGTGTGTGATTCTAACAGAAATGTCTATATCTATATCCACATCTACAAGTTAGTTGTTAAACTAGATTATCACTTGAAAGGCCTCTTCCTCCTGCTCCTCCTCATGTCTCCCATTATATAGAGTGAAGCTTCTCATATGATTTTCTCCCTTCTCTTCCTGGTAATAGTAAGCCAGTGGCCTTCTCCATCTCATTTGGGCCTGACCAAATTGCTTAGCCAAAGTGCCTGTTCTTCAGCTTCTTGCTAAAAGTCCTGTTTTCACGCATGACTGTAGCAACAGGGCTGAAAAATAAGGAAGGTTAACGCTCCCCAACAGCAGCAAAACAAAACGAAAATCTGTTGTTTTTCTTTTTTCTGAAATAAATCTTTCAGTCAGCCTCTTTTCTAATACTTTTCCAAAAAGCACAATATTCCATCAGCTTCCTGAGATCAGCTATATATTCAGAGATAGATTTCTCCTTGCCTTCTTTTATCCACCCGCTACAGAATTTGAAACGTACTGCAGGGAATTTATTTAATCATTGATGTCATCAATTATACAGCTGCCCAATTTGCAAATAAGACTCAGGGCAGCTAACAACATATTCAAACAAAAAAAAAAGTAGTGAAATTAAAAACAACAAGGTCATCGAGGATGAACCTTAGGAGAATAAACAGAAACCACTCAATGGGACACCCAACCTCTTGAACCCCAGGTCCTACAGTGTATCCAGGCTTTCAGTGCTTTATGGGAGGTCAATCTGATTTTGGGGAGTATGGTTTTCCAGAACATAGGTACTATGTTTGACTTGGAGGTTAACAATAAGATCACCTCTGCAACCCAGTTAAATCAGTTTCTTAACAAGAACTGGGAACCACATAAACTTTGAAACACGGCTGCAGGTTTCTCTCCACTTGTGATATCATTAGTGAGAAAGACATATTGAACTATGTCTTTGATTCCAAAACAACTGCTTCAATTCAGGCACAGATAAGTTGCTTCTTTACCATTGTTAGTTTTCTTCATCACCATTGTAGAGTCTCGTTCTCAAAAAAAATATGAGGCAGAGTTTAATCATTGTACGTAGGTCCACACAGCTAAGTCATTCCCTGAAAAAGAGAAAAAAATAGGGATTACTAAAAAAACAAAAGAAACTGTATCTCCCAAAAGAATATAATCCTATGTAATTATTAACACCCTGATCTTCTATGAAACTGTTCACTTCTCTTTGAAAACTATCTATGTGGATGGCCTTCACTAAGTTTGGTAGCAGCAGACTCCACATTTTACTTTTATTGGATAAAGTCAGTAATAAATCTCTCCATCTCTCCATCTCTCAACTTTCTAACAGCATGCATGACATTGTACACCTTTGTTTCCCCCCTCTCCTTCACTTTTTCAAAGTTTGAAAGTCCCAGATACTTCTAACTGTTCCTCACAGAGAATCTAATCTGTCCCCTAATTGGTTTATTACTCTTTTTGTACTTTTTCCAGCGTTAATTCACTATGTTCTAAGACAGTGGTGGCGAACCTATGGCACGCATGCCAGAGGCGGCACTCAGAGCCCTCTCTGTGGGCACATGCGCCATGCCCTGGAGATGGCAACCATCCTTCAACCAGGCGCCCGCTAACTCACCAAGGTCCCACGTGGCCGGATGCATCCCAGCATGGCTGGTTTCCCTCCCCTCCGTCCCATCCCTCCTGGCCTCGCAAGCTCTCCTTTTCCTGGGCATGACCCACTGCATTGCCTCCTCAGCTGTCGGCTATCCGTCCAGCTGAGTGGCTCCTCTGAACTGCTGGCGGTGGGCTGCAGAGCCCCAGAGTGCACCAGTCGAGGGGCTGGCAGGCTGTGGCTGCTGACGGACACTGTCGGCCCCCATGCGTTCGCTGGCCTCTGTTTGCGGGGGCCGATGATGTCAGGCAGCAGCCACCCAGCCCCTACCTCACCTTGCCCTGCGACAATGGCACCCCCGCCCTGCTTCGCCTTTCCTCACCCCGCAGGACGAGTATCCTGCCCACTGCCCCATCTGCCAGAGACCCCCCGGATCTCCCCCAACCCTGCCCAGCCCCCACAGGCATCCCTCCCCACAAGCAACATCAAGATGACCATGCCCACCTTGACCACACCCACCCAGTCTGCCATGACCACCACAGCCATGCCCACCTAGTGGGCTACGCCCACCTGGCACCCAACGATAAATAAATGGATTTTGGGTTGCAGTTTGGACATTCAGTCTCTAAAACTTTCACCATCACTGTTCTAGGATGCACACTGTGTTTACACTTTATATGGGCATGGCCCATTAAGACAATCCCTGAGAAGAAGACCAATAATTCCTATATAAAGAGATATTGTTTGGGAATTACTACTGTAAGCAACTGACTACCAATGATAAATGATCAGCGTTCTGCTCTCCCCCACCACTGACCCTTGCTTATGACCCTATAAGTGACTACTTTTTCTGGATCCATCATAAAGGTGCATTTCTCTCCGACTTTTAACAACTGCAATGAATCTGTTCTTCAAAAACCAGGCTTGTTTTATATCTAAATATGTCCTTGGGAAAGAAAGTAAGAGGAAAGTTGTTCAAATTAAAATTCTGTCCTGACATCTCACAGTCTTAAAATAACCCTATCCTTATGGCATCAAAGTAAAATATAGGCTAGAAAATTGTTTGAGAAAACTTCGCAGTAGTTGACTTTGGGGGGGGGAAACCCATCTAGCCTTCTGAAGCATGCATTCATTTGTATATTTTTAATTCTTTGTCTGTTTGTTTGGTCTCACACAAATAAAAATAACTCAGAGGGCCCACATATAATAGCCTCTCTTCACACTGGTCCTGTTGTGAGTTGATGCAGGTTCTTTTAGAACAAGTGTGATTAAATTGTATCTCTAAGTGCTTCAAAATAAAATTTAACCAATCGAAATGGCCTTTAAATATATTTAGTTTGTATCCTATTGACCTATAATCACACTTTTTTCCATGCCAGACTGTCCTATGTGAAGTGTTTTCACTGCAGGGATGTAACTGGAAAAAAAGATGCTGGCTGGTTATTTCTAGAAAAAGAGATCTAAAGACAAATATTTGAGAAGTGTTGGAGGGTTAGCTACAAGAACCAATCCTTGTCATTTATTTGAGGTGATATGGATATGTAGTTTTAAGATCAAGACCATCAAGATAATTTTCCTAGGAAAATAGATACATACAGGTACTATTTACTGATAGTTCAGTTGATTATACTTAGAAATTCATCCAGAGAAGACAGAAATCAAAATCCTATGCTAACTTTTATTTTTAGAATTATATTTCATCTTTTTCTGGATGGAGGTAAAAACTACAAGGGTCATTATTATCATGAAGATGCTGTTTTTCTGCATTCATTTGATTGCTCTCTCAATTCTAAAGATAGCTATGGTCTGGGGCACTGCCCCATAATAAATCAGGCCCTGTGCAACAGATGCAATCCAGTCCCTCATCATATCACAGCAGCTGCTATTCTTTGGACTAAGCAGAGGTCCCAATGAATATGCCACCACAGGTGAGACAGAACAGATTTCCTGCCTGCTGTTGGGGAAAGTGGTTTAAACTTCAAGGGAAAGAATTAGCTTTTCCTATCCTGACACTCATCAGAAATGCTGGGCCTGCAACTGTCAGAATGCTTGCTCAACATTTGAGAAGTTTGCAGTTCTTTCAGATCCAGGGAGCATCTAGTTGGAGAAGGCTGATTAAAATAACCACTAAAGCTAATAATAGGTATTGCTGTTAAAATTCTACTTTATCTGAGCAGCCTATGGGCCAGCTAGAGTTGCATCTATATTACAGATCCTATGGTGAAAAAAAACCGTATCTAATTAAGCTGTCTGTTGTGAATGGATGGATTTATCCATCCTCTAGATCACGGGTGTCAAACTCGCCCAGTCATGTGACGTGTCGCAAGCTATCGTGACTTTTTTTGCATTGCTGGAGCTGGGGTGGTCTTTGTATGATGCAACCAGCCGGCGGGCTGGCGGTTTCACACCCCTACTCTTGATATTTATTATTTATCAAGTGAAATCTATAGTCTTATTTCCTGTCCCAGTAGGATATTCCGTAAGGTGCTCCAACTCAGAAATATATTGCATGAAAACATGAAATAACTACTGCGTTCAGTCAATTCATTAATTTATTTTGCACTCATTTATATCTTTACATCCTGCTAATAAAAATAGATGGATGGATGGATGGATGGATGGATGGATGGATGGATGGATGGATGGATAATTAAAAATGGGTGGATAGATGGGAGGGAGGGAGGAGGGGAGAGAGAGAAGGAGAGGGGAAAGATAAAGTTTTCTGGTATATTTTTTTTATAGTATGCATAAGTCTGAATTTGGAAGAGCAATCCTTGGCCAAAAGAAATTAGTGATGTTTAAAATTATGATTTTCCTGAGAGCATTTAACATAAAGCTACAATTAAAGCAGGTGATTAGGCCAAAATAATACAGATTATTTCATTATTTTAAGAGTCCCATTGCAGCATTCCAGCAGATGATTCAACACTGAGAGTGGGTATAATACAGTTCTGTTCAGTTAACTGTCCCCTTTTGACCCTATGTTCTGTAGCTACATCTGTTCTTTTTTGACCCGTGATAAAAAAATGTACCACCAGACTTGTACTTGGTCTGTTGTGCCCCAAACAATCAGAATTTTGTGTAATTCTTTTTGCCTAGGAAAAGAGCAATATGGTCTTAAAAAGCAGATAGCACATAAGCTAGAGTTAATTGAGCACATAATGATTCCAGAGCCATAAGGTTAAGTATCCAAAAACATACAAAGATAAACAAATCCCAGGAAGCATACAACATATTTTAACTGATGCAATATTCTGTTTTGCTTTTTCTTACAAGGAAAGAATGCCAGGAAGTGAAGTGTAGCAAATAATGCAATATGCTCCATGAAATGGCGAGGGCTACATTAATTTGATAAAATATATTTGCAACCACAGATTTTCTTTTCCTATGAGCATATACAGCATTTACAGTACATGCACAGAACTGAAAACAGTTGGGTCTATACTAGTGGATTGATTGTAGTTATAAGCACCACTAAAAGTATTGATTCTATTAAGAAAGTAGACATTTTTGTCCTGAAATTTGGGATTTGGATTTGGATTTGTCTTCCAATAACTGTAATCTTTCATACAGATCTGAGCATCTTCTAACAAGGATCCATGCTGATCCATGAGAATAAGGTAACTAACTTCTTCTGGAAGAAAAATATTAAGAATAGTTCATAGCAAAGTTTTATTAGGTAGAAGCACCTAGCTGATCTTGGTTGACCTCAGAAGCTAAGCAAAGTTGGTTCTTGTTAATACTTAGATGAGAAAGCCCCCCTGGGAATTGCATGGCAGTTGGCAATTGGAGATATTTTTTAAACATAAAATCTTAGAAGAAAACAATGCTATGTCACTTCTAAACCATTGCCTAGAAAACTGTATGCATACATTCTCTTGAAGTTGGAAGTGTTGAGAGCACCTTCACTTTTTTCCAGCAGTGCAAATTTTGGGGCCTTCTGATATATTAACGCATAGGCTTGGTGAATTACATTGTAGATCACATAGCTAAAAGAAAAAGAGAAACAGCCCTTATAATGTATGGATTATTCTTTCAGCTCTCTCACTTTTGAGGATTTCTGTAAGAAGAGTTTCATTTGGATGCCCTGTGACAGTGCCTCTTAAGACATGACCAATAGAAATTGATCCCTGAGATCCTTTCAGCTCCAACAAGACATTAAACAGATAGAAAATCTAGATCAGTCAGAAGATGTTAGTAAGCAGGGCTTTTCCTTTGCTGATGCCAAAAAAAAAACAAAAAACCAGGGTTCAATCACAATTGTGAAAAATCTTTGCTTTCTCCATGCAGAATACACCAGAGAGAGAGAAGTCTCCATTTTTACAACCCTGTAATTCCATACTTCCTAGAGTCGGGGCAACTGGATGCAGCTGAGCATTTAATGGCTGGATTCCTTTCCTGACACCACGTGGAGTTCGCAGCAAATCATTTTTCTTTGCACACTATGAGAGAAATATCTGCCGCTATCTAGGATTGAACTCTCAACCTTCCGAGTTGGAGCAGAAGTCTTTACCACTAGGCCACTGTTCCCCTCTAACACCAGAGAGACGAGTAATCAGTGTTAATTTGTTTTGCGTGGGAAAAATATCCACTGCTCTGCATAGATGGACATCAAACTTCCTGCTATCTTCTCCATGGAGAAAAAGTACAGCCTGTTTCATGACTTCCCCCCCCCCCATTGGCTTAAATGTGATAGAAAATTGTCTTGACAATACCTTATAGATATTACCTTCACTTCACTGCCACCTTATGAGTGAGATGGACTTACATGTCCTAAGTGTACTCATGTTTCTGTTTTTTCCTCTTAAACCAACAGCATCTACTGACAGAGCAAAGGGTGGGAAGTCTGTTATGCTTTGCTGTCTGTTATAGTCAGAGGCCAAATCAGATAACCAGCAGATGACCACCACTTCAGGCTGATGCAAACACAATAACTTCCCTTTAGTCTTTGTTGAGCGTTATCTGCCACCATCTGCTCAGGTCTCCCCAAAGAGCTGGACACAGCAACTCCGTGCCAGTAATCTAACAGAACTGCACAATAGTGCCAGATTTCTCAGCTGGAAGTGATATAATTGCTTTTACTCTATGTTTCTTACCCATTTAATGCAAGCCAAGGCTAAAATAGCACAATGGTGAAACCAGGAGCAGTGAAATAGCGTAACCTACTGACATAGCATAATATTAAAATACTGGACCACCACAACTACTTCAGAAAAATTTCAACCACCTCAACACAGACAAAACTCAATGGAACTCAGAATTTGGAAGGCAACCAAATTTTGACAGAAGACAGAAAAAGATTTATTTAAACCAGTGGTTCTCAACCTTTTTAATGCCGCGACCCCCAACCGGTCGTAAGTCGAGGACTACCCAACCAGTCGTAAGTCGAGGACTTTCCCTGCCCAGGAGTGCCGTGCATGCGTGATGCCACCCCCTGCGCCGGCCGAGGCGTAGCTGGCAAGAGAGTCTATTCTCTATTCAAGAGAGTCTATTCTATTGGCTTTCAAAAGCCAATAGAATAAAAGGGAGTAACACAGCTAAGGAAAAGGGGGGGGGAAAATGGTGGACTGCGTTGTTTAGCGACCCCCGTGAAATGGTCGTTTGACCCCAAATGGGGTCCCGAACCACAGGTTGAGAACCACTGATTTAAACAGTTGATTAAATTGTTAAAAAAAATTAAACAGATTATATGTAACTTAGAGAATTATACCTTCCACAGTGAGAGAACAAATATCTTTTGCCTGCAATTTAAATGATCTGGGTGGAGTTTTCTTCTTAGTTGTATGGAGGGCAATTTTAAAAGACTGCAAACAATTAATGCTACAAATATACTTTTGACCAGCTTCACAAAAGACAATATTTGTTATGTCCTGGGCCTGCTGAATGACTCAGCAGGCTCAGGAGGCTGCAGAAGGCCTGGGCAGACCATGTGGTTGCCCGAGGACCAGACAGCCAATTACAATTCATTCATTAATTCCAGTTAAGTTCAACATCAGAAGTCCCAAAGTTTCAGGACTCTCACAAATAAAGTAGCATGCTTGTTGACATGACTTTCCATATGTCATGGGAAAGTGAATATTGAGGGAAAATGAACACAGAACTACCTTCCAGCTTATGCTTTTATGGCCTTTATTAGGTGAGGGCTAATATCCCAAAATTAATTATGTAGGCACAATCAAAATGTTTATTATGGAACTGGCAATTGCCATCTTCCCATTTATCTCCTCTCTGAATGAAAGTAGAAATTACTTATTAGGCCCATGGAAGGTGCAAGCAAGAGCATTGCTCTGTCTCACCTGGCTGTGGTGCTAGTGAAGCATCTGCTTCCTTACCTTCTGTTTGTTTCAACTGATTTGTATCAGTTACTGGCACCAAAACAATGCCCTATCTGAGCTGCAACGGTCCAAACAGTTGTTAGATAAAAGCAAACAGAAAACTCCCCTCTTTGTAGAAAACCTTCTACTGCTTGTCCTCATTTTTTGCAGTCCAAATCTGCTCTAACCAATGAAGGAAAGAAATGAGCTTCTGTTTTACAGATGCTCAGATCTTGTCAACCCTACAAACAATATCAATGTCCTGTCTTTGCCATTTGTGCCTTCTCATTACTTCCCATCTCTAAGAACCCTTCATTTTTTTTATAACACATTGGAATACAGCAGGAAGACACAGCATGGGAATTGCAAAGGATGAGGAAAAACCAAGAGCAATTGAGTAACTTCAAGGCTGCATTTAATTAAAGTCACATTTCAGGTATAGCACCAGCAAGAGAAACAACAGGTTCTATCTGTGCCTGCAAAGGAGAATTTGCAAGCTAAAATTCAGTGTCCTTCGTGCTGAAGGATCCACTTGAAACTAATGAAGTTGGCATGTGATTATATTTGGAGAATGTTGCTGCTGAAAAGCCATTACTGGGGCCTCTCCCCGGCAGTGATTGAAACTCCTGTATCCATGATAATCTCTTTTGAGAAAGCCTAGCTGTGAGAAGTGCTCAGCTCTGCCATTCACAGCCAAGTCACTTTTCTCATTAGTTTTGTTTAAAAAAACCACGTCTTTGGGAGGAATTTATTCAGAAAGAAAGAGAAGAAAAAGAATCATATTGGTATCTTATTTAAAGGGGAAAAGCTAGAAGATCTGGTTATTCTTGGCATCAGTAACAACTATCAGTCATGGGCTGCTGGCACTGGTGATGTCACCAAATCTGGAGCCACAAAAAAAAAAAAAAAACCTGACCAAAACAGTATTTGCTACCATCTAACTATAGTCCCAAAGATGCTTTTTCAAAAGGCAACTGGACTTTGTTTTTTTCTTGAAGACCTTTCACTTCTCATCCAAGAAGCTTCTTTGGTTCTCTTCAAATGAGAAACAAAACATCTTCAAAGAAAAAACAAAGTCTAGTTGCCTTTTGAAAAAGCACCTTTGGGACAACCGTGACCTGGATGACTGAGGATCTCCACAGACATACAGTGATAGACTGCATTTTTGGCAGCCCACATCTGGGAGGGTGCAGTAACTCTAAACCTAGGATTATCTTTAGCAACTGAAACGTGCTTCCACAAAACCAGGTAAGCAACCAAGTCAGTCATTCTCTTTCTTCCGGTATATGGATCAACCTTTGGTTATGCTGGCGGGTGGCTCTAAGAGATGATGTTTAATACAGCACTCTCAATCGAGAAAGAGAAGATTAGGGAAAAGTAACATCACTAAAGGTGCCATCAGCTAAGGTACTATTTATTCTGGGGCCAGCCGTACCAATCAGGCTATATTTTCACTGAAAAATTCTACAGACACTGGAGTTTCTAAATTAGAATATTAATGTTATCTATAAAATATTCATTCTGCAAAGAAAAGAGGCATCTTTCCCATTGCCTGTTTCTTACTCTGTCCATGATAGAAATGCAAAGTTAAACAACAGAAGCCTGCTTTAATTTCAGTGTGTGATTCCTTCATGAAACTTTTAAAGAACAATTATGTACTATCAGTGTTGGATCCAGGCTGAACTAAGTGATTTATGCATAAATAGCCTTAGCATACCGTAGATGAAGCAACTTACCTATATTAAATGGGAACTTGGAGTATTGTTATTTTTGGCACTGCTATTTTTTCTCCTTGCTATCCTACATTTCCTTCTGTTAAAAATAAGGTAAAAGACATGACAATTTGACATATAGTGAGTGTTTCAGAAATAAACTAAAATCAGACCCTTAATTATAGTGCTATATTTAAGCCAGAGGCTTGCGAGGATTAATGCAAGAAAGAAGTTAACAAAGGCAGAATAAAAAATAATACAAAATTAGACAATCCTGAGAAGGTGGTGTTGAGACCTAAAGACTTGGCAAGTTTTTGCTGTCATCTGTCTCTCCAGGATGATTTCTGAAACAGGAAGTGAGGTCAGATCAGGAAGAGATGTGATTGGAGAAACCAGTTGTCCAATGGAGGAGATGGCAAAAAAATCAGTGGCATTCGTTTATGCAGCCAACTAACCAACCAGCATGAGGTGTTTTTGGTTTTTTTTGTTTGTTTGTTTGTTTTCATTTTTTCAGTTTGGAGATCCTTGAAGGAAACGTGGGCTCTCTCCAAAAAGATACTCCATTGCCATATGTAGTTGGAATCTCAGAGCAAAAGGAAAAAATATTATGCTAAATGAGTTTTTACATTTAACATACCTTTAAAGCAATTGTCAAATTCTCCACTACAAAAGAACAATGGAAATTTGATATTTTCCCCCCTCTGCTTGAGCAATCCTAAGGGCATACATGGGGGGGGGGGTGAGGAGAAGAGAGCAAGGAGATCCCTTGTCCAAAGCTAGTATCACTGAAAGATTTCCTCCAAATGGAAATACTTTACATTCTCAGATAGGTAGTGAAAAATTACATTTTATTTCCATTCCTGTTATGAAGACCATCTTGGGGAAGGGAGAAAAGGGGAGAGGACAAGTAATGAAATGCATGTTGTTGCCCTCTTAAATATTTATTTGGGATGTTGCACTGCTAATGTAAAAGAGAGTGGTATCTTGTACTATGACATCAAATACACATTTCGTCATTGTGGCATCAGAATGGTTACATAGAAATGCCCATTCAGATAATAGTTCCCTCATTTCCAAATGAGAATATAATTCTGCAAACTGGAATCTCACTATTCAGATATCACTAACTTGTATAATTCCAATGGCTTCTTACAGTCCAAAAAAATCAGTTTATTGCTTTTTAGCAAGCACGGCTTAAAAGAAATGGAATAGGTACAGATGCAGACAAAGATCTTATTTTTTAAAAAAAAGTGGAGGCTGGTTCCAGGAAGAAATGAGCTGGGGAAGTGATGGGCAGATTGCAAGAAATGTAATGAATGATAAGGCAGATAAGAGTTTGTTAGTTGGCTGGTGAAGACAGCTGTTGATGCCTTTGAGCAGGTTGTGATAATGGAATATCCCAAGCTGTCTAGTACAAGACAATTTGGTTCAGGTAGCATCTAGTTTTGGCTAAGTTCCAGAAGACTTTAGGATTTAAGTAGCTGTGATGTGGATTGGCTGCCTCCATTACTATACATATGCAGGGGCTAGACAAAGCAGAAGTGAGAGTCTTGCTAACTATGAGGCAGTGATGGCAGAAGATATGGTGAAATGGTCCTAGGCCACTTTAGATATCAAATAAAAGTTGGCATGATTTAATAACCTTCCTATTTCTCCCTCAGGAAAAAAAAGATTTTAAGCAAAAAAAACAATATATCTAGGAGAAAGTGTGACTAACGGTCCATAGCAAGTACAGTAACAAATGCCACAGCCCAAGAAAAATTTAATCCCATCAGCAGCTATTTAGCTAGGTCAATCCTATCTTATAGATTCTGCGGAAGCAACCGGAGGACTTTCTGCTAGTAGCAGAATGCTGAACTACCCTGGCATCATTTCATTCCCCCTACGAAGCTACATGTTTGAATTATGGAGAAAAAACAGATAGTACCCCAGCATTTCCAACAGTTTAATATATATAACAGTCATAGGCAGGCTTTCAGTTATGTCAGTGGTTCTCAACCTGTGGGTCGGGACCCCATTTGGGGTCGAACGACCATTTCACGGGGGTCGCCAAACAAGGCTGTCCGCCATTTTTCCCCCTTTTCTTTGGCCACGCCCCTGGCACCCGGTGATGTATAAGTGGTTGGGGGTCACCACAACATGGGGAACTGTATTATGGGGTCACGGCATTAGAAAGGTTGAGAACCACTGAGTTATGCACTGTGTTTAGTCATAGCAGAGTTGATTTTGTTTGAGCTTATTGCAATATCTGAATCTGGGCATGGTTTATGACAGAGTTTAATGTTTACCAGATTATTATGGCTTGTTCAACTGACCATTGTTAAGGGAACTCCTTACTTTCTTGATGTGTTAATCTTGTATTATCCATATTCTTGTTTTCTTCTGCAAGGAGAAGGAGAAGGAGAAAGAAAAGGAGGAGAAGAAGGGGAAGGAGAAGAAGGACTGAGAGAGTTACAAACAGGACTAGGAGCTTAAGAGCAATAGCTGCTATGGCCAGCCCAAAGGCTCCCCAACAAATAGTCAGAATGTTGTCCCTGAATATAAATTGATCCAGAAGTAGAAATCAGCAACATTCTAGAAGTGCTTCCTTGACATCTTCTCAATCTTCTTTAACCAGATTAAAGGCATAGCTTTCCCAATCCCAATGGCTTGTCTTCAGTGACAAGGGGCAAGAAATGTACCTCCCCCACCACTTGTATCTTTTTTTTCTTTTGATAAGTAAGCTATAAGTATTGATCTTAGTAAATTGTGCTGGTTTGAAAAAAAAAGTCACCTGAAAATGATTCCTTTCTTCTCTTTCTTTTCACAGCTTAGATTTTTATTAGTCTTCAATTTAGGCTTTTAATAGTAATTTTATTAAATATTATAATTAAAAAGATAAAAATGAATGCAAACTAAAGCAAATTAAAAGTACAGAAAGAAAAAAAAACAGAAAAAAGAAAAAGAAAAAATATAATAATAAAAAAGAAAAAAACCTTATAAATTACTTCCCCATCATCACAAGTATAAACAATTTTAATAATTTATCACCTTCTCTTAAAACATAACAAATTATCTCTTTACCCATATCTCATCTCTTTTCTTTTTAGAAAAGAAATTTTAAGAAACAAAATCTTAAAGCCTCATCATTCAGTTCTAATCAGCAAACGTCCATTTAGGATTACCAGAGATAACAACCTATCTATTTTAAATTTAAACAAATAAACCAACTTTATATTTCTTCCTTTACTTCTAACAATCTTAATGCTTAATCTGCTCAAAAAATGTCCTAGGACTTTATTTCTTTTCATTTATTTCTTTGTTCTTTCTCACAAATTCTTCAAAATTTTAATAGTTCTCTTTTACAAATCCAATATTGGAAAATAATCCAGGTTACTCTTTTGGTTTGTTATTTGTATATCCCTTTTAATTATTAAGACATTAGCCATTTTCATTTGTGTATCCAATGTAGCATCTTTTTTCATATCATTCTTGTAGTCTCTCATTTTTAAATCCACTTTCAGATTAGTCTCAATCTTGTTTGGTAACACTTGTTTCTTCTTTCATAATATCTTTTGAACACAGTGCATCTGCAATAACAGACACTCTTAAAATTATCTTCTGGGTCCATTGTTCACAATATCCTTCAGTATGTCCAATGTTAAAGTATTTTCTCCATTCAGTATTAGTAAGCTAAATTTAAGTATTTTGTCCTATATTGGAGTCTTTAGTTTCTTATGGTTCCATCCTATATTTTTTTAAAAAATTCAAAAAGCATTATCCCATGAGAAGAAATCTTATAATTGTTAAAAATCTTGTATCAAATCCATCTGGACCATTAGTCTGTTTATAATTTTCCAAAATCAACATTCTAATTACCCTTCAGCAATTTTTTAAAAATTGAAATCTTCTAAAAATTGAAGAAAACGCACCCAGTGCCACCAAACCTGTCAATTCAAAGCTTCCTAATAGCTGTAAAGCTATTAAGCAATTTTCAAAAGTAATTAGAAAAGGAAATATTCAAAGTTAAGTGTCCTTCCAAAGGGGCCATCTGCAATGTGAGCAAAAATGGCTATTCCCTCATATCTCAGAACCCAATGTCATGAGGTCTCATTGTGAACATCAATTGTCTGGAGGATGTAGGAGATGACCAGGCTGAGCCCGAGGGAGGGGTCAAACGCATCATCAATCATGAGTCCCTGCACACCCATAAGAGATCTAAATCCAGCCCACTTTGAATGCCTTCTTAATTCCAACTAGTTTTTTTCTTGTGCAGAGAGGAATCACAATGAGCCAGTCTACTCGCCAGGTCTTCATTCCACTGCAGTTGCTTTCAGTTCACCATTTCTTCGCTGGAATTTTCCAATTTAACACTTTTAACTGCATTTGCCAGATGCTTTTCTTTATAGCCATAATAATCGCCCCATGAAAATTCCAAATTACTGAGAAACAATTTGCATGATCAGACCTCTTTCCTTTTACCAATTAACGGATAACAAGATAGTTACCAAACCTGGCTTTCTGAGGTGGAGTGATGCAGAGCAATTCCCTTCTTCTTTCTGGAGAACAGTCTCTGCAGTAGCCCATCCCACAGGGCATCGGATGCTGAATTAAAGCATTTCTCAGGGCTGCAAATGGTCTCCTTGCAAATCATGCTGTCTGGAATCAGATCAGAATGCAGAGCTCTGAAAGGAAGAGCCTTGCTTTGGGAGTGGGTGGTAGCTTTCACTGTGGAATGCAAAACAACCATACACATGAAAAATGTTAGAGTCATCTGGAGACTATGCATAAAAACCAAAGATAGATGAGAAAACTAGCATAATGTGGCATCTGCCTTCCCAATCCAGCAACCCTCTGCAGCAGCCAGCAGCCTTATACTAGATCTACATTCCTAAACGTTTTTAGAAGTTAGCCCTAGAAGCAGAAATGACTTGAAATATATTTCTAAAATCTGTTGTGGAGACAAATCAAATTACTGGCAATGTGGTGTTATCACAGTCTACAACAATATTAACCTTGCCGTATGTCATCCTCCATTATCTACAACCCTGAGGAAAAGCAGAACCAACACAGCAAGACCTGGTAAAGTCAGATAGGTCTGAGTGGTGCTTCAATGCATCCTTACTGTATTGAGGGGCAGGAATTGCACACTTCAGACCAACATCTCTTTGATTTGCCTATCCTTTTTCAGCAACATGTGCAAGACCAATTTTTGTTTTCAAAAGTCAGAAAATTATTTCATGATCATTTTAAGTGCTGTGCCTACTGAAAGACTGTCTTCCCACAACATAGTTAAGCAAGTCAAATGTGTTCAAGGGAAAGACAAAACAAATATATAGCTTAATATCCTAAACTTGGTTACTCGTCATCTCAGGATTTGGGGGGGGAGGTTCCTTTGTTTTTTCAGCTCAGAGTTTTGCACAACCATTGCTTTCAAGTTGTTTAATTGGCTTCTGAATTAGCCTAATAGCCTGACCTGCTAAATCATCTTGTTCAAAAAACAAGTTAACTATGATATATAAATACAAACAATAATATCCAGTTGTGTTCTGATTATTAATTGACTTTGGTACTTTCTCACCCACCACATACTCTTGGCATGCAGATTATTTTAGCAAAACTGCATTGATATCTTAGAAGATTAACTCCCAAAATCCTCGCTATATTAGCTGGGTGAATCTTCTATTCAGTACATTTAGAATCAGAAAAGGGAAGAAAGACTGGAATCTACTGTAAAAAAAAAAAAGCTGACTAATTTTCACCTTTTTTCAACGCACAGCAGATGCGAAATAGACTGAGAGACATCTCAAATATTATTCTTCAGTAGCTAATTTGCCATAAGAGGATACATGCTGATATGAAGTGTAGGAAAAGCGCATGAAATGAACATGCAACTAAGGGGATTTCAAATCCAGTCTCAACAAAATTGCACACCAAAGTTTCTAAACCAGTTTGGAACCCATCCATCCATTCACACACCCAAAAAAAAGGATCAAAGAAAAGGACGAGGACAAAAAACTGGCTATCATCACTTTGGCCCAGACGTGTTTGTGTATGGTTAGATCTTCAGAGCTGCTTTCACAAAGGGTGCCCTGGGTTTTGTCTTTGTGTTTGTTTGTTTGTTTTGAAACAGATAATTATTGGATCAAAGATCCTATGAAGAAAAATTGATATATTAGTATCCGGTTTTATCCTTGTATCCTTTGTTGCTGAGACCCAAAGCAGCGTAGGGAACCAACTTCTAGCAAAGATATTATTGTTATTTAACAATCTAATGAATGGTAACTAGGAAAAATACACATTTCTGACCAAGCAAACAAATAGGGATGAGCAGTTAAGTAAGCCCCATTGGCCAATCTGCTCTGTTTCTAGCTGTTGAACTAAAATTGAAATATTCTTAAAAATATTCTTAAATATTGTTCATGTATATTTAGGATTATTTACTATTTCTGGTTGTGGTTTATATTGAATTTTTGTTTCAGTTGTTATCCTTGCTGGCCACCTAGAATCATTCACATTGGCTATGTAAATTGAATGAATGAATAATTCAATCAATCAATCAATCTTACAAGTTGATTGTATTAATGGAGGAGAAGATTACTCCCACTGGTCCTGATTTTACTACCTCTCCTCAAGCGGTTGATAGCTTATGGTGCACAAGATTCCCACATTTAATCAATTCAAACAAAAACATGATTTATCATGCAAGGGAGAAATGTGTATGGCCCAATGTGAACATTTGGTCATATGGATTATAGAAGCATATCAAAGAGGGGCAGGACTTGGGTAGATGCTTCTACTTAATAAAAATGCCAAGTCCTCTAACTTCTAGCTCCTATGAACCAAGGATAAAGCTTATTAAAATTTAAACCAGTGCACAATGGTTCAATTAGACATTACCCAAGCATTTCCCTTTGTGAAGATGCTATTGAAGCTTCTGTGCTCCATTGCAATACCTCAGTCCTTAAGGTTCTCAGAGCTACCTTTTGCTGTCCAGAAGCTGGGAAGATAAGGATGTCCTCTGCCAATTTCAGTCTTCCTGCCATTCTATAAGAGTAAGTTTAGGAAAGGGGAAATTACACTATAACAAGGTTGAAGTAGTATTCCCACTAGATTCAATTTCTTCTTGATGTCTGTGAGATAGCTCGGAAAGAGTGAAAAAAATCATGAGCTGAGTCGGCATTGGGGAATACTTGATCATCTTCAGTAAGTCTAGATATATTGTGTAATATGAATCAGGTATTATTCATATGATATATAACAAGCCTGATCAGCTGGGTAATATGAAAATAACTCTATTATTCATAAAAATGATTTCCTGACTTAATTACAAATTATAAGATTATGACATCTATTTAAGCTGGAATAAGGTAGAATGAATTGTGAAAAAAAGATTTGCTTGCCTTATATTGTAAGCGCATTTTGTAAGCGCATTTCACTTCTGCAGAGTCAGGCATATACACCGCTATCTACACTTCTCTAGGGAAAGTAGAGATTACATAAAAGAGACAGGTGTATTTCTTGTTTAATGCAGCTAGAACAGAAATATTTCACCTCATGGGACAAAACACAGTGAAAAGACAATACATAAAGCACAATGAGTTATGTTGTGATATCGAGAAATGGGTATGGAAGACACAAAGTTCATGAATTTATAGGTTTTTTTTATTGCTGCTTTCTCAAAAGAGAAAACCCAGATACAGAATTAGAATCCCTCCACATATCCCAGTGCCAGTCTTAAGTGAAACCTCCACATTATTACTGATTGGCTGCAGCATCTGATCTTCACCCAATAATGGTGTGCTCCTCCCTGTTGCTGTTGCTAGCAGCCACCAATCAACAGGAAACTTATCCCCCCCTTTTTTTTCTATACAATATGTAGACAATGGTGTAGACAATGGCATGATTGTATGGGAAGAAGCCCCATACGTCCTATCCAGGGCAGGCAGTTATCTGAGTGACACTGATATGGGCATTATGCGGAATGTAAAACAGATGTCTGCCCATCAAAAAACTGAACTGAATAATAATTGTTATTTGTTGCTATTATAACTTTGTTGTACACTGCCAAGAGTCACTTGTTTTGTGAAATGAAAAATAAATAAACAGAAAACCAATCAAATGGGCTTATTTGCAAATTCAAGGTTGTCCCTTGTTTTATAGGCATAGACAAAAGAGTTTTAGAGAGCTCTCAGACAATGCAGATCGTATATATACCTTCGTCCAAGCTGGACTTCAGAACTGGCCCTCCACTATATGCTTTCTAGCATATAGACAGGCAGGAAAGCTTGTGGCAGTGGGGACTGATTGTTTTGACTCCATAATTAATGTGCTCCACACAGCAATTGCTTGGAGGATCATGGTTCATTAGCAACAAATAGGCTGCCTGTGTGAAAAGGCAGGAGAGGGATTTGCTGCTTAGGCTTTCCTTGCCAATTACAGCATGTTAGAATCAGGGGGAGCCCATTTCTATGTAAACTTTACCATCATACACTAGCCAGGACAATTTCTTGTGTTTGTTGTTCTTTCTAGGTAGCTTTCACCTGCTCAGAACCTAAACAAAGAATAGAAGGAGAGAAGCTTTTGCAGAACTTGCATGTAAGACCCGATAGGTCAGTGGTGGCAAACCTATGGCATGCGTGCCAGAGGCGGCACTCGGAGCCCTCTCTGTGGGCACGCACGCCGTTGCCCCAGCCCTGCCACCCCATATTGCCCCTTCCTCTCCAGCAGCCCCCCCGGAGAATTGCCCCAGGCACAGCCTGCGCAAAGCAGCACAGCCAAGGACATGGCAACCGGGCAGCGGGGACAAGACTCCGCCCTCACGCCCCATCGTGTGCAGATGATGCTGCGGGGTGCGGACAGAGGGCATGTCCGCCATGATGCTAGTGGGCGATCTGCTGTGGCAGGCCGTGGAGGCAGTGGGTGGCCCTGTGGGCAGGAGAGGCAGGGCAGGGGCAAAGCAGTTTTTGAGCACTCGATCTCTAAAAGGTTCGCCATCACTGCAATAGGTAATCTACTTTTGTGCGCTTCAATAACTTTTAGCTGGCATTTTTCCTTTTTCTCGATTTATTATTTATTCTGTATGTTTAGACTTTTATAAATTGCACGTCGATACAGCTCTAAAAAAATAAAAAATAAACAATGAGGTTTAAGTACTTAAGATATTGGGTTAGCATCAGGCAAACTTGGGAACGGTCATTCTCAGCCCCACCTGCTTCACAGTTTTGCTGTTTGGAAATCCTTAGTGAAAGGAAAAATATAAACCTAACCAATAAATACAAGAAAGACCCAGTTCAGAATAGGTACTCTTGGTTTGAGAGTTCTACCATCTGAAGCACCGTGCATTAATTTCAAAATGTTAAATTATATTTATTTCACTGTAGGCAACCCCTGGACATGGGATGAGAGAGATATTCTCTTCTGGTAACTTTGGTTTAGATCTCTGTCCCTATCATGGCATCCGTAAGTTAAGCAAAAGGTGATACAATATTAGCACTAGAAGAAATCATTTGGTATTAGGCTGTGCCCCACCTGGGCTTCAAAAGTAGGATGGGGAATGGAGGATGGGAGTATAGAAAGGTAGTTTTGGACTGTTCTATAATTCCTTTGGGCAGCAGCTGAGTCTTTTCCTAGGATTGCACAGCTGTTCTTCACACAGTCTGAAGGAAATATGGGTTTGACTGAAGGGATTGCAGGTCAGTGCTCTGAGCATGTCCCCATGTGTTCTAAGGCACTTCTTTGCCTTCAAATCCAAAGCACTGCAGAGTCCTACTATTTTACTGAATATGGGGGAAAGGAGAAGTAATAAATTAGGCCAGGGGTTGTTTATTGTATGGATTAATATAGGACTGATTTTAGGTGTCTGCATATTACATCATTCTCATCATCACAGTGGTTATCATTGTATGGGCTATATTCTATTTTCTTGATTTTAATCATCTCCACTGCCTGGACTCACTGATATGAGATGTGCAGCTATATAAATCGTTTGACTAAAGACTAAATAATTTAGGGACGATATAGATATTCCCAGATTCTTTGAGTCTTTTTTAGGTCTAGGTCTGCACCTCAGACATTTGATTTTAGCAACTGAAATGAAACAGAATTGAAGCAGATAGTTCAACTACAATACAGGATGATTTTATCTCATGCCAATTGTACTGCAGTAAACAAGACACCCAACATCTTTTCTGCTTGTCTCTGGAACGACTGCAAGTGTATCTGGTACCTCTACCTACAGCCAATTCCACATGGCCCAGTTTTCCGTACTGTCGTTTAAAAAAAAAAACTCTCAAAGACAGAAATTCAAGCAAATGGAGAAAAATAGTTTTCTTTGCCTCTAGGCTGCCATCTTGTGTTCCACTGAAGAAAGGGACAAAGATGTTAAAACCAACTATCCTTTTAACATAATTGCTGGCCTATCAGGAGATGTGGGTTGGAACAAGTCAAACAAAGAGAAGATATATCTCTTTGTTTGATGTGTGTGTGTGTGTGTGTATGCGCGCGCACATGTTTCCAAGTCACTGTTGACTCCTAGTGACTGCTTGAACTGGTCCCTGAACTTTTCTTCGCTAAGTTTCTGAAGTGATTTGCCATTGCCTCCTTACTAAGCCTGAGAAAGTGTGACTGGCTCAAGGTCATCTAATCAGCTTTGTATCTCTCAGAACATGGCAAGATAATTTAGACTGGCTATCTTGAAAGATGATTAGTCACTCTCCATGGAAAAGCAAAATGCCATAAAATCTGGCATTATTTTAATAAGCTACATACAAAATTAGAAACCCAGAGCAGCTACACCATATGACTCCTATTGCTTATGCTGCTGCTCTTAAAGAACTAGGGATGCAAATCAACCAGAATTATTTCTAAAAAGTAGGAATTATTTTTCCCTTGATCTTTTCAGACCCTTTACTAATTCATTGGGTTCACCCCGTATATGCCAAGAAAATTAAAATGGCTATTTCCTGACTACTATGGCCATCTAATTTCCCCCTCCCACTCCACCCCATGAATGAGAGCCGGGGTACAGCATTAGAGACTAACTAGATGCAAGGGCAGACGCAAGTGGGTTTACAACAAACAGAAATCAGGTAGCTGATGATACAGCTCTGTGGAGTATCAGCTACCATTGTTGTATAGTATTTATTTTTTCCGCTGGTCAAGATGTGCTATTCAGAAAGGGGCGTATTGGCAAGGCTCACTTTTTTTTTAGCATTATCCTTGAATTAGGGGCTTTCCCCCCCCCCCTTTTCAGCCTCCTGACTGGCTTTGCTGTAGGGATTTCTGGTTTATTGTGCTTGCTGAGTGCTGAATTACATATTGATTGTTTGTGTTTATGATCCTTCTTTTGTGAGCTGCTCACCAGAAAGATAGTAGGCTAGGAATACTTTCAATATAAAAAACCAAGAAAGCAGGGAGCAAGTATTAAGACAGTCCAACAATTGGAGATCTAAGCTGACAGGAGACAGAGAAGTGTAGGAGAAAGATTAGGACAGTCAAATACAGCAGAAAATACCTTGGAAATGTGTGGGTGCCAAAATAGCTGGCATTTGCATGCAAGGGCTCTGCACCAGGTGTTTTAGGTTACATCAGACCCATCTTCGTCTTTTGTGTGACATGTTACAGAAAATAAGTATGCATTCATGTCTTCTCTGAGCTTACAGTACATGCATGTGCATACACGTGGATCCATACATGTGCAAGCTCTCTGTGACACTTCATACATCAGAATAATGCTCAAGTTCCCAAAATGTCTACATGTAGTCCTCAACTTATGACCATAATTGAGCCCAACATTGATGTTGCTAAGTGAAACACTTGTTAAGTGAATTTGCCCCATGTTAACTTTTTTTTTTTGCTATAGTTGTTAGGTGAATCACTGCAGTTAAGTTAGTAATGCAGTTGTAAAGTGAATCTGGTTTCCCTATTGACTTTGCTTATAAGAAGATTGCTAAACATGCTCATGTGACCCCAGGACATGGCAACCATCATAAATATGAGTCAGTTGCCCCGTGTCTGAATTTTGATCACATGACCATGGGGATGCT